GGTCACTGTCTTATTGAAGACGTTTCCTGACTGTTTCCACTGCCTCTGATATAGGTATGCACATTAAACGAGAAGTAACATCAAAAGACACCAGGGTTTGTCCTGGAACCATCTTTAAATTCTTGACTTTGTGTGCAAAGCTTTTGGAGTTTTCTATGTGATGTGGTGTGTTTCGTACCAAGGGGGCTAAAATATTAGTAAGCTGTTTAACAATGTTTTATATTATTGAGTTAATGCTGCTGACAATGGGTCTGAGTGGTGTTCCTTCCTTGTGAGCCCATATAAGCATGGAGATAGGTGGTTTGAGAGGGGCGTGAAGGAAGCCATCTATGTTAAGAAAGAAAAAACAACCTTAAACAGAGGCGGTGGACTCAGGTTCCAGCTTTAAAAAAAATACAATGCAGCAATTGAGTTAATTCCTTCCTGTTATCATCGCAGCCCCACCCTCTGTAAAGGAGAGCGGAAGACCTCGTCTATTCAGCCAGGCCAAAAATCCCCTTTAACGACCGACATTTCAGACACCTAGATGGGTATGGGGCATTGCAGTATAACAAAAGAAGCCAAATGATCCCCATCCCAAATAGGTGGACCCCTACGTGGACCCCCAAGGCTTTGTTGGGCTACTGTGTAAAACCTCGAACTCAACACTATTCCTGACATTTTGAATTGAAAAAGCTTCCTGGATGGGAAGCGAAACGTCTTCATACTGTACTTGGAAACAAAATCCAGTTAATTGTTTTTAATTTTCTGTTTTGGAACAACTATGACCTGGATGACTGAGAACCTTCACCAGTATATTGCACTTACAATATTCATCACTGTTTGGCACCATTTCACTCTTTCCTCTGAACCTGGAGCAACCGGTTTACTTAGATTTGCAATAAATCGGGGATACCCAAGATTTAGGATAAACTGGACCCACCCTTCAAAACAGACAAAAATAATTCTGCATTTGTTGGCCTCATAACAAGGAGTCTTCCTATCCAAACAGGCCTTAATGCAGCACTATGATGTAATTGCCAACGAATCTGGCCTTCGGAGGATGCAGCCGCGAATTTGAACTCAGCACCTGTGTCTAAACCAGGCAAGGTCACCGTTTGAATTTCTGAACGCTAAGTCACTTTATTTTCTGTTCATAATATGTAATTGTCTTATATTAAGGGCAAAAATATTCATACCATTAGCAGATCATCTTGTTTACCTGTTCAAATTAAGGATAAATATCAAACCATCATCAAATCAGAGAAAATTAAATTTCTCTAAAATAACTGGCTCAAGCTGTCACAGTCACTGAGTTCTTTTAAACTGTGTTAACTCTTTGCTGGTGAAGATTATCAGTCATCCAGGTCATAGTATTCCAAAAAAGTAAAAAAAAAAAAAATCCACTGGACTTTGTTTCCAAGTTTGAAGACATTTTGCTTCCCATCCAGGAAGTATTTTCAACTCAAAATGTTAGAAATAGCGTTGAGTTTGAGGCTTTATAGAGCGGACCAAAAAAAGCCTTGTTTTGGCTTAGAAAACATGCAAATTGAACCTGTTATTTCTAAATGGGCCTTATAAATATATTTGACTTGTGTAGCACTTAGAGTACTAAGGACTAGATGGTATAGATTATTAGAAGATTAAATTAGTCTACTGGAGCTGTTGTCAGTGATCAATGAAAAACAATACAAAGGAATATCTGCTTATAATACTGTGTATTTTATAGAAGGGGAAAAAGTAAAATAAACACCACAAGACACAAACCATACACAGAACCAAAAACATAAAAATAAATAAATAAAAACTGGTGACCTGGATGACCTGGAAATATTCACCAGCATAGTTCTTCCTGTTAAAAAGGAGTTTTTCCTCTCCAATGTTTGTGAGGGATTGTTGTAGAGTCAAAGATACAATGCAAACAAAGGTTTACTATATCTACATGTTCATCCATGAGGAGTGTATCCTGCATAATCAATGACTGGGTTTCTAAGTTTCCTGTATAGAAAATTTAACACCTGTTCTGCTTATTTTAAAGACATGTTTTAGGCACCTGTTAACTAGATCAGCTTTATGCATGCTATTAAACAAGTTTTTACACTCAAAATCCTCTTGCAAGTCAGGTCCTACGGTGTGTCTGGTGAAAAATAAGACTTAGTTTCAAAGGTTTTGGGTTGCAGAAAGATTTGAATTGCATAAAACAATGTTATTAGTCCGCTAATAAAATTTCCTCATATTTCAAGTGTTGCTGTAGTGTTCACCTCCCTAAAACATTAATACAGCAGTAATCCCAAAGTCAAACATGATTTTACCATAAAATCATGCAGTAGAGATACTTTTTTCAATGGAGACAGTGCGGCTAAACAGATTTAAAGAGAAGAAACCTTCAGATATTTCTTAGCAAAAGCTTTAACACTGGGGTGGATGATCCCTTTCAACAATGTAGATCCTATCATATTCCTCTTATAGACTGCCCTAGTCAAAGTCAAGATCTAAATCAAACTGAAAATCCAGTCAAAACCTCTTTATTGAATCTGAAAGATGTTATGCTATTTTCCTAATGGACATTATGTTGGTAGAGACATTCATAAAAAGACTAAAAATTCATAAAAAACATTACAATAAAAGTTGTTTTGAAAATATGGATTGAGAGACGCGAATCAAAACTACAGACCATGCTATTTTTTATTTTTTTGTTGTTATTCATTTCTAGTGTAATTTTTCTTCCTACTTTGCACTGCAAAAAAACGATCTAGAAATAAGTTAAGATTTCTCAAATTAAATGTATTTCCTCTTAATTTGAGTAGATAAATAAGATGATTTGCCAATGGAATGAGTATTTTTACTCTTAAAATAAGATAATTAGATAATATCAACTTGAAGTAAGACAATGTAATTGTTTTTTCTTATTTTAAATGTGAATTGTCTTGTTCCATTGGCAAAGTGTGTCACTTACCTCCTCAATTCAAGGAAAAATACACTTATTTTAAGATATAATGACCTGGTTAGATTTCAATTTTGTAGAGTGTGGATATTGATATAAATTGGTTATCCCAAAAGAAAGTATAAAGTAGTCTAAATACATGACAAATATGAAAGTGTTCATGTGCTAGCATGACGCAAATCTTGACCTATTAAAATTAGAAATGTCTTTGAAAAGTTAAATTGTTGTAATCAATAGAACTTGGACCAAACTAATGTGAGAGGGAAAAATTCAGGCTGGAATATAGGATTAGAAAATGATTTCATTTGTTTTAGTGAGATTCCATTTAGTGAGATTTTTCTGGTGTTTTTGCTGACATCTTGTTGGTATCCTCTGATGGACTGGTGACCTGATGATATCATACCCCTTATTGTATGACCACTGGTGATAGGACCCAGCCTCATTGGAGCGCTGCGAGGATAAGCAGGTATAGAAAACAGATGAACAGATGGAAATCTCACTCTAGTCTACTTCCATGAAAACAAAGCTACCATAAAGACTGGAAACTGTTTACCTCTCTATAAATGAGCCATCTAGCAAATTTAAACATCAAGTAGTTATTATTCCCCGAGAGCAAATGTTTATTTAGAATGATTTCTGTCCACTAATCTGAGATAAATAATGCCATAGAAACTACATGCACCTTAATTTTCATTTGATCCATCACATTTCCATAGCGTCCAGGCCTTGGCATCATCCCAAACCAAAGGCTGATCACGCTTTATAATCTAGACATCACGCTCTCTGTCGTCTGCCTCATCAGTGATTGTTCACTCTAACATTTCCTGGTGACAACATTGTTAACTGGAGCGAGCAGTCCCAGTGTCTACAAGACAAACACCACTCAATCTGTTGACTATGTGTGCGTTTTTGAAGCCGGCTCAGTCGTCCATTGGAGGCTAAATGTATTCAATTGGCTTCACACGATTAGCGCGTGTCAACATTGAAATACTGCCACCCAGTTGACTGCTTTCCATCTCTGCCATGGTTACAGTGCAAATGCACACTCATCCTTCAGTCTTTTATCATCAGGAAAAACAGATTTTCTAAAACTATCTCCTACAAAAAAAAGATAAATTTGAACTTTTTCTGAAACCTTACTTGCAGCTCTTTTAAAATACTAAATATAATTTTTGAACCTTCCTGTTGTTTTCTCCTGTTATTCTTTCGCTAAGGAAAGCATTTGCTTCCCATCAGCATGCAGGTCAGACCATCTCCCCGGCAGGCAAGACTCGGTGGACAATTGTCCATGATCTTTGGCTGCCTGTGTAGATGTGCAAATCCAAACGAGGTAGCTGTTGTCATGCCGTGGACTCTCTGGTCTGGACCGAGTTCCCTGAGGCCAGCTGCCACATTCTCACTGAGGCATTCGGCTGGTTTGAACTAGTTTCCTAGTGTTTTATAGAGCTGCCTCTGGTGTAAAGAGAGAGAAAAAAAAAGGGTTTGGGATTTTCTTCCAGGGCATGTAAGTTAGGTCGTTGTGAAGATGCCAGGCTTTTTGGTAAGGGCTGTTATTGATTTTATAATGCACACAGGTCCAATAGCTCAAGGTACATTGAGCAATACCTGTCTTCCATTAGGAGGACTTAACCCCCTCCCCCTCCCCTCTAAACCCTCGCCCCTCCAGCCCAGCACTCTCCACCCTTCATTGACCAATCAGCACCCAGGCTTTTAGCAGCGGTCTTGTGGGCAGCAGTGGGTAAACAGTGTCTGCCTCTCTGTTTGTCAGTGAAAGTTACCCAACCATTTATCAGCCGTCAGTAAGCATCTAGACAGCTGGGATCTGTTTATGCACTAGGAATGTTTTTTTTTTTTTTCCAAAATAAGATCCCCGCTCACACTTTTTGCCCCCTTCCCTTTCTGTATGATTCCAGAAGAGAAGCTTATGGTTCAATGTTGCCCTCCTGGAGGTTCACTCCCCTGAAGATGTAAAAATGCCCCCCCTCCCTTCATTGCTTCTTGGTCCCCGCCTCCCTTCCTCCCCCTCTTGCTCTGGAACGTCACTCCCCCAACTGTTCTGTACTGTAAATTCATTTTAGGGGCAAGGCGAGGGCAGATCCTGTGATGAAGAAACTCTGAAGGCAGGGAGGAGGAGTAAAACTACTGCCCTGCACAGTAAATGTTCTTGTATACTGTACAGCATTCTGCTGGTGGCTTGAGGCAGAGGCTCATTAGATCAGATCAAGCTGTCTGACCTGTACCTGTACGCTAGGTGCAGCTGATCTTACCTGTGGAAGAAAAGCTGTGCAGCTTCTCACAGCTCTGTTTGCTCCTGAACTTGGAAACTGTGCCTTTCAGACAGTCCTGCTCTAAGGTAGGTGTAGATCTGATTTCATGCATTTAGTTAGTAACAGTCTAGTAGTTCAGATGGATTTTTTTTCCTTTATGGAATTAAGAAAAAATCTACTCAGAACAATAATTTTTACCTACTATATCACTATATGTTTAGGTCTTTTGCATTCTTTCCACTGTATATATTTTTTTTCACAATCTTTGCATTTAACTCCTGTAAATCACTATATATGATGTTTTTTTTTAAAGAGTTTTAGTGGCTTTGTTTTGCTTTTGTTAAGTGTTATGATGTGACAAATTTCTACTTTTACCGTCTCAATACATTTTTGATAAATTAATGAACCATAAACTTTACTTATAGAGCACATATGATTATAGTATAATTTTAACAAGCTGCCACAGCTCTACCTTTTTTTTCCCCCTGAAGCATAAATCTGTCAGCATATGTTTGGATCATTTTCAGAAGGAATCATTCTCACTTTTCTTGACTGAAAGAAGCAAAGCAAGTTATTAACTATTTAACTTCCACATTTTTATTCCTATTCAACTGAAATCATAAATGCAGCCTGTGCATTAAATTAAAGAGGAATTTCAATTTGGAAGATAAATACATTAAAGGAGAATAATGGCCATTTTGGCTTCATGTTTAATTGGAGCAGCAAGCTGCTGGAATGTTTCACTCCGTTGTTTCATGAAAGCAGCTCTTTGAGTACCAAGATCTAAACCATGACCCCAAACAATAGTTGAACCGGACCCCTAGAGTCCAATCCTACAGGGTTTGGCAGCACTCCTAAAATGCACGTCATAGTTTGTAGGGTTAACATCCCTTTGAGTTCACATGTTATGTAACTCACTTTTCAACAAGTTTCAATAGAGCCAGCTGCAAGAACTCAAAATGCAAAGCAGACATAGCCTAATTAATCTGCTCCTTAACACCCAACCTAGATGCTGGTTGTTATGACTTTTTTTGCTAAATGTTAGAATACTAAACTAATAAGTATTCTTATCTGCAATCTCATTTTTGCTTTTCTTAGAGGCTTGCTCTGTGACTTTTTGCATTTGACATATACTGTTGGGTATTAAGCACTTAGGACCCACCTCTGTTCTAACCAATCAAAACACCCATTGAACAGGTATTTTGTATTTTCATTATTTTCACCTGCCTACAGGTGACAACATGCTGAAGCAAGTTGTGTCATTCAGCCGCTCCTTGGTGCGCAGGAAAGTGGTCGACATGAACAGCCTGGAGGACTCCAAGCTGTGCCGCTGCCTGGGAACCGTAGACCTCATTGCCCTAGGGGTGGGCAGCACCCTGGGGGCTGGGGTTTACGTGTTGGCCGGAGAGGTGGCCAAGGGAGACTCTGGCCCCAGCATCGTCATCTCCTTCCTCATTGCTGCCCTGGCCTCAGTCATGGCCGGCCTATGCTATGCCGAGTTTGGGGCCCGTGTCCCTAAAACTGGCTCTGCTTATCTATACAGTTATGTCACAGTAGGGGAGATCTGGGCCTTCATTACAGGCTGGAACTTAATCCTCTCATATGTCATTGGTGAGCTATAATTTATGTATCTTTTCTTTAAAGAAGAGAGCAGATCTTTATGAATTCTCACCTTTTATTTCTCTGATCAGGCACCTCCTCTGTTGCCAGAGCTTGGAGTGGCACATTTGATGACATGATAGGAGGACACATTGAGGTTTTCTGTAAAACATACTTCAGCATGAACTCTCCTGGTTTGGCTCCATATCCTGACTTCTTTGCTGTGTGCCTCATTCTGCTGCTCTCTGGTAAGAACATTGCTGATGGCTGATCATTTAAAATTCCTCTCAGTATTAGCATACAGAAGCTTCAGTAAAGGGATGATAATCAAAATCATTACAGTTTAACTCATGATCCAGACCTGGCATAATTTAATAAGAAACTGGCAGTACAGTGTGAGAACAGTTTGGTAGTGTTATTCCTAGTGAGTCCAGGTTGTACAGTGAACAAACAGCACGCACAGTACTTTTGTTCCTAGTGAGTCCAGGTTTTACTGTGCATTTAATTAAGTAGTTTTCAAACTTTTGTTCCACACCTGAGACAAACTCCGGTGCATCAACTGCCCAACAAAGTCACATTGTGTTTAAACGAACTCCATCTGTGTGTAATTTTGATTTACAGATGGAAAATGTGTGGAAGATTGACTGGTCAGATAATTACAAAGTGCAAACTTTGAGACTCAATGTAAAATGCAATGTATGCTAATAACAAACCAAACAAGGTGACCATGAGCTCAGCCCATCCTGTAACATTGTGGTAACTGCATCATGCTGTTGGGATCTCTTTGTACAAAAACCCCCAGCAAAACTGGTTACAGTTGGTCAGGAAAAACAGACAAAGTTAAAACACCAGTTCATCCTGGAAGGAAACCTTTTAAAGGCAGCAGATATTCTCAGACTTAGGCAGAAGTTGAGATTCCAGCATGACAAAAAGAAACCTCTCAACAACAAACATGGACATGTAGGCTTATTGTTAATAATCCCAATAACATACACAAAAGTTTGAGATTGCAATTTGTCAAAAATATGCTATTTAGCCTAATTGGGAACATTTATAAGGAGTTCGAGGAAGTCTCAAACCAGACATACTTTGAAACATTTGCCTCCTCCTACAAACATCTATCATGGGTTTTATCTGTCTGCCAATGAAATGATTACATTAGTTCAGTGGGACACAAAGACAGTCTTAGCAGTGTCTGTTTGTTTTTATGGGACTAGAAGAAGTCGAACTTCTGCAACTCAAATATGGTAAACAATATGCAAAAGCTCCCAGCTTCAATTTTTTGAGAAAGAAAAGGTAAAAATGTATGAATAGGTTTCATTTGTTTCGATCTGCAGCAATGTAATCACATTATCGAAAACTCTTCAAGACCTGATGGTCACATAGATAGGTTACTATTTAATTTTAATATGCTTTAACACAAACATTTCAAAGGGTGAATCAATATTTTAGTATAGTCTTGTTGGCTATTTTACCACATTATTTGTCCAGCAGCATACGCTAGTATAGGGTTCCTCTACACCAGACCTCAAGATCAAGTTTCCTGCATCTTTAACATCCATCTTTGCGGGAGTGCAGATGGTGCAGTGATTAGCATGCACGACCCATGTACGGAGGCCTTAAAGCTGATTTATACTTCGAAACAAGGTCCTCTGCATAGGTGTCGCAGTCAACAAAAAGCTTCTCCGCCCTCTTCGCAGAAGCTGTGCCGCAGACAGGAGGCCAGCTTGTTTTGTTTTTATGACCCAAATTGCGGAAAACAACTTGTGAGGTTTGACCAGCTCGAAGACCCTTTTTCTACTTGGATCCTCGCTCTTTTTCGCCATTATGTCCCTCCGTTGTCGGACTAAACTCGCCCCCACTTCCTTACCGCCTCGGCCGTATCTAGACCCACAGCGTATAACACAGACCACGCTTCAATACTGGGCATAAATCAAAAATGTCTGTGTCAAGCTCACTGCGACACACTGCTGCAGGAGTATAACCAGCCCTTAAGTCCTCAAAGTAGCTGACCCGGGTTCGAATCTGACCTGTGGTCCTTTGCCGCATGTCTCTCCCCCTCTCTCATACCCCCTTTTCTTTGAGCCTACTGTCCAAAAAATGATCCACTAGTGCTGTAAAAACTCCAGCGGTGAATGCTTTGAAGGCCCTGTACACCCACCACTGTATTTGCCTAAACTTGACAGTTTTAAACAGCCTCAACATGTGAAAACCAGTTATCATATCTTTAAGAACTTTGCCCCTGCCTCTAAGAACTGTCCTTTAAAGGTTTCTGAATAGTTTGATCTACTTTTGCTCTGAAAATAGTTATAAAACATCTTTGCTGAATTAAAGCATTTTACATTAATTAATGTTTGGTCCCATGCAGGGCTCTTGTCTTTTGGAGTAAAGGAATCAGCCTGGGTCAACAAGGTCTTTACATCAATCAACGTGCTTGTGCTTTTCTTTGTCATCATTTCTGGCTTCGTCAAAGGAGACACATATAACTGGAAGATAACTGAAGAATCCCTTGTAAATATCACAATAGTCACAAGGTAAAGGATTCATTTGACACCAGTTGAATACAGTCTGTGACATATTGGTAATCCAGGAAATGTGCAACAAATATCCCAATTGTTACGAAAAGGCTGCTTATACATGTTTCAGGAACTTGTCTGTGACAGCCAACGTAAGCAGTGACTACGGTATTGGTGGCTTCATGCCCTACGGGTTCAGCGGGACACTAGCCGGAGCTGCAACCTGCTTCTATGCTTTTGTCGGATTTGACTGCATTGCAACAACAGGTAATTCCTTGATCAGCAGGCCTTGATCCATTCCAGTTTTTGTTGTACCAGCACTAGTGTTCACTTCCATTTGTGCAACAGGAGAGGAGGTGAAGAACCCCCAGAAGGCCATTCCCATCGGCATAGTGGTGTCACTCACCGTATGTTTCCTGGCGTACTTTGGCGTCTCTGCTGCACTTACCCTGATGATGCCCTATTATCTGCTGGATGAGAAGAGCCCGTTGCCCATGGCCTTTGAATATGTAGGCTGGGGGCCTGCCAAATACGTGGTTGCTGTGGGTTCATTGTGTGCCCTCTCTACCAGGTAAGTCTTTGCCATTTTTTAAAACAAAAAAAGACATAGAGTAATTCCTAGTCTTAAATGGGGTAGTAATTTTGACTTTAAGTTTGTGGTAATAATGGCAGATGAGATTCAGTCACCAAATTTGACTGTCAATCTTTGTCTGTGTCTTTTAATTGGATTGATTCCTGTTGCTTAGCCTTCTGTGGTGGATGCATTGCTTAATCCTCTCTGTGTCTGAGGCCCCAGCATGTTTTTGTGCCAAGAACTGCTGAGCAAGTCTCAGTCTGTCTCAAAAATATATTGTGTTGTCTTTCTTTCCTGTCAGTATCAGTATTAGCAGTATCAGTGGATGTCGTTCTTCTAGTCATATCAAGATTTTCATTGGTTTTAACTCAAAATGACATTATAATCTGTATGGACTTTGTGCTTTGTGAAAGTGTTTTAATGCACAGCTTTCTTGCTTGAAGCAAATGTTTACTCACCAAGTCTTATGACGACCCATGAAAATCTATTAGAGACACATTCCTAAAAGATCCATTTGCAGAGTTTGTCTCTCTGAAGGATAGATTACAAGAATGACAATACAGACAGGATAGAAAGACATCTTTTTTTTGCTTTCATGATTCTCTGAAGCTTTACGATGCCTCTGTCCATTTGTGATTGTGTGTCTGGGTTGAGGGCTCATGACTAACGTGTTGGTGTTGCATGTCTCTGCTGTCTCACGCAGTCTGCTGGGCTCCATTTTCCCCATGCCTCGTGTAATCTATGCTATGGCAGAGGATGGGGTGCTTTTCAAAGCCTTAGCCCGAATCAATCCTAAGACGAAGACCCCAGTTATTGCCACTATGAGCTCCGGTGTAGTTGCAGGTGAGAGCCGGGGATCATGCAAGTGAAATGACTTAGCTTACTGTATGTGTCTCCACCAATCAATTGTGAAAGAAAGAATGGAGTCAAACAAGATGATTTAGTCATTTACTGTCCTGAAGTTGGTTCAAATTCCACTTGTTGAAAGATAATATATGGTCTGTACAAGTTTCTGTGTCTGAATATTGAGTGTTTTTCTTTCACAGTTGTGCAGGTGTCATGTTTTTTCTCCCAGAATGCTCTTAACTTAACAATGAACCCTCTTCTCCCTAGCCTGTTGGGCTCCATGTTCCCTCTTCCACGCATTCTCTTTGCCATGGCACGAGATGGCATTCTGTTCAAATTTATGTCCAAAGTGAGTAAGCGGCAGTCGCCCGTGGCTGCCACCATGGCAGCGGGTACCACAGCCGGTAAGCTCCTGGACAAGGCTCTCACTTGTCACTGGGTTGTATCCTGGTTTTGTCTTGGTGCCCGTCTGGTTTTTTTCCTGTATTTTCTTTGTGCTCTTGAAAAGCTGGTGATGGTGACTGCATGAATTTCGGTGGTGGTGTTTCCAAAGCATGTGAAATCCTGCTAATAAAGCGATAAAAATCAACCGGCCAACAGGACCAACAAGGCCAGCTGAGGTTTCATCTCCTATGGAAAGATAGTCAGATAGAATTGGATAGTAGGCAAAGTGGGTTGTTAATTAATTTAATTAAAAAGAAAAAATAATACCCCCATGAACCCCTGTATAAAATGCTTTACAATAAAAAGCTCTAATATTTTAGCAGGGAAATCTTTAACTGTGATTTAGAAAAATCCAACTTTGAATTTGACTAAACTGGTCCAATTCAATATAGAGATCATGATAAAAGAAGGTCCATAAACAGTTTCTGGTCATTTGACCATAGGTCATCACATTTTTTATGTTTTATATGTCCATATATGCATCTTCTTTTGTAAAAACCAGCTGCCTTCCATGTAGGGCTTAGCAAATTATTATTTCCATAATGTTGGAGCAAAAAGGTTGTGAAAAAAATCTTTATTATCAATTCAAAATTCTGACTGGCAACTTTAAACTCGGTTAGAAACAGTCCAAGATATCTTGGATATATTTGCTGGATGGGTTTGTCACAGAACGCAGTAAAGACTGAGCAAAATTTACTTTGACTGTACCACGGCAGCAGACTGCAGCTTGTTGCGTACTCTGCAAAAACTGAGAAAGTTGTTCTTGCTCTCAAAGCGGATAGAGTAATAAAACAAATTTGTTGAGAGGCTCAGCTATGGACTGTAGCTTACATCACACTCACAGAACACAACAGCAACACCATGGCACAGGAGGCAACGTTTTGGATTGATGAGGCGGATGGAGTGAGCAAAATGTGGTCTATTACATAGAAGTCGAATCATACAAACAATCCATCAAAGAAACAGACAAGTGTGTACATTTCCACAACTGTAATAAGGTGAGGATTTATGATCCAAAACAAGGGAAAACTGTTGTTCCAACTTAACACAGGCCATTAAACTGACAAATGACACAACTGTTCTCAGAGATGCTGCAAGAAAACAGTGGTACTGTGGCCATGTGTCGAGAACAAGGAGTGAGAACCAAGACAGCATGAAAAACATCTTGCTTCTTGTGGAGAATGTAATAAGCTTAACTAAGGTGTTTTGCATAGTGAAAAGCAGTAAATTAACTGGTTTTAGAGAAAAGTACCACCTTTGTCCCTTTTGCTCTGAGACCTGCTAGAATCAACGAAGGAGCAGGCAGCCTAAGGCTCAACAAGATGTTTTCAGTGTCCATCTAATGTAGCCCGCTAATATTTAACAATAATAATGATAATAATAATGAATCAAACTCATGCTGGTATTGATCAACTTACCGGTAGGCAATAATGTGGTAAAGCTCACTTTAAGAGTTTGATATTTGTGGAGATTATCGTGGTGCTTATATAGAACACCTACTTCTACAGCCTTCCTGCTTATTAGGCTGCAGGTGTTCAGTACATAGTTGCACAATGTTCTCAGGCATTAAAGCTGAGACTTACAGGGTGAATGACCTGAGGAAGAGGCTGGCAGATGTGAACGCTGAGGGAGGGGGTCTGCATATCCACAAGCCATACGCACCAAGCACCTGACAGTGACAAGCCGGAAAGCTTTTTGATGTTCTTGGTTCAGTTTGTTTTAACAAAATGTTAAAAGGGATTGCAGACATACCGATGCCTGTTTCAAACTCTGCTGCTGAGATCTACTACAATCTTCTTTTCAGGGCAGACTCTAGGTTTTGTGAGGCTCTGTGCAGACATTTTTTCAAGCCTACCTCCAGCTAAGCCAGTGCACCACACTAACACCCCCTTCCTCTATTTATTGTCCATGCTTTATCATTTCTTTTTTTATTATTCTGCATTAGAAGTTGTAATAAGCATTGTCAAACACATAGGAACACTAATCTTATTGGGTAGTGTCTGGTTTTAACATTATTTTGCATTAAGAAAGGCCTTGATTCTTGCTGTAGATTCAGTTTTGCTGCCGGGAACATTTCTCCAACATTTTGATCCGTGTTGACATGATTGCACCATGCAGCTGCTAAAAAATATTTCAGCTGCACGTCCCTGGTGCCGTTTTCCTGTTTCTTTGCATCCCAGAAATACTCTACCATATCAACATGTGCCAGTCTGCTGGGTTCTTCCATGTGACTGAATAACTTTTAAATTGCTTAATGTACGTAAATATGGAAAGACAAATAGTACTGACTGCTGTTGGTACTAATAATAATTGCACTGATTTTAACCATTTTAACCAGTGTGCGAGAAAAAAGGGGTACAAACAATAGATGGTGCAAGTTTAACCAGTTTAGAAAGGAGTAAAGCATGCTTCTTAAACCCTAGAACCCTACGGACCCACCGGTGGGTCCAGCTGCTACGTGACCTCGTAATTTTAACAAACCCCCAGTATTGATGTAAAAAACACATTTGGCACAGTTTGGTGACATTTTTGGATAAATGTGCCAAAATGGCCCCTCCGCCTAAGAAATTTCTCACTAATACCATTCTAAAATAAATATGATTCATCTGATTGAGTCCAAATTTGGTATATTTTTACACAACATTTAGATTTAAAAGTCTGTACTGCTTTTTTGTGCTATAAATAATATTTTGGTAGTGTTTTGCAATGTTTATTTCAAAGAAAATTTAGGCAAGGTTCAAAAAATGCAAAATATTTTGTATTTTGTCCCTAATATTTCAGGCAGGGTCAAAGCTACAATGGTGTTGACACCAGAAAACCATTCTATGACATCTTACCTTTACAGAGGTACCAAAAGTTTCTTCTTAAATCTAATAGCTGTTAGGCTATAGGTGATTTACTTTTGTGTGTTTTTTTCAGGCAGAAATGTATTTATACCCCCTTGGTGTAAGAGGCTTGTTTGATGGCTTCAAATTTAATTTAGCCCTTATGACCATAAAAACATTCATCATTTGTTTTCTTTTTGCAGCTATGGGGTAGGCGTCCCCTGCTCCCCTCTGTTAAACAGTTAATTCTTCCATGAAGCAGGATAGTTTCGGGTCCTGTTCAGATAGAAGATCAATGGGTATGAAGCTCGATCCTGAACTGGGAGCAGCCCTGAAGGATCTGGGTGACAGAGACACGCCAGCGCCTCTGTTCGGCTCTATAAAGAATAAAAACTCTCCAACTTGCTCTGTAAAATCACTTCCGCATTGCTTAGTTTATACCGGAAGCAGTAGATACAGTAGAGGCTCCTTTCATGTGATGATGTGGTGAAGAGACAGGAGTTGATCCAATTACCCGCAGTGGAATCGTGTGCAGCATGAATGCATAGTTCAGATTAGGGCAACAACAGAGCAATATTTTAGTAACACCATCAATTATATCCTAAATGAGCTGGATATATCTTGAAAATTTGTACAATTGGCTTCTGTCAGAGATTTCCCCCCCAAAAAGGTTTTTGCATCACATGTATTGTAGGTATTTTACTAGTTTCCACCTTTTTTTCCCAATAACTGTTAGTCTCTGCCTGGCCCAGGCTTTGATTTGCGCTCTACTTTCCCCTACTATACTGATACACTGTGTATACAGTGTCAGTCAGTCTGGCTGGTTAGGCTGAGAAGCAAGTTTTCCAGAAGTACCTAAGGCCTCCATAACAGCAGGGGGTCCCAAGCAAACAAAATTCCCATTCTCAGCTATGATGTTTGATGCTAAGGTGTAAAAATATCTTTATCACAAACTGTTTTACATCAAATGATGCTTCATATAGAAATCAAAGCTGTTGTATTTAAAGAGTAAAAAAATAACCTTCCTTTTTATTTTTTTTAAAGGAAAATTCATGCATGACTTCTAATTTTGCATCTTTGGACTTATATGTTTGACTTTGCATCTGAAATAAAAAGCTTTTCCCTAATTGTTTGCAAGAACTTCTTTGTGCTAAAGACTGTCTGTGCATGAACTTTTTCTATGATATCACCCTGTTGATTTGTTTTCTTCAAGGTTTTAGCCTCATTTAATTCTCTTGCTCTCCACAGCAATCATGGCTTTCTTGTTTGACCTTAAAGCCCTGGTCGACATGATGTCTATTGGAACCCTGCTGGCCTACTCCCTGGTGGCTGTTTGTGTGCTCCTTCTCAGGTGAGCACCTTCACAAATCTTTCAGCTGCCCGTATAGTCTGATTTGCGCAGCATTGGAAAATATCTACCCTAATAGCCTTTTTTTTTCCAAATGCCCACAAGCCAGATTACCCTGACTGCTATTGCATTACCTCAATGATGTAAGAGCTGTGAATGCTCCCATTGTATGATCATTAAGTTGTGGCAGGAGCAGGTCATTTATTTAAGTTTCTTTACTTGTTAAACATAGGGCCTACAACACAGCTCCTTTTCTGGCTCCTATTCTGGTTTAAACTGGTTCCAGTCCTTACTCGTTCTGTCAAAGCTAATATTGTGACGGCTGTTTTTCATACCTTGTGCTGGAGGATATGCACTTTCCCTCTGCAGTTTGTAACACAGTTGTAAACAACCTTTTTCCTTTATTGCTGCAAGATAGTATAGTTGCCATATTCCAGTGAGTATGCAGAAAAAACTTATTGTTCATACCTAGGGTATGTAACCCTGTTTTAGCAGATATATAGCTTACACCTTCACAAAACACTGCTGTGTTTTGAGCTCTTTCTCAGCTGATGGTGGGTTTACCAGACTACGGTCAGGACAGAAATCTCATCAAAATGAGGTCGACAGAATGAAGCAGGCAAAAATATGACAGAAACTGAGGCATGAAAATTGAAATAAAGGAACTAGACTATTAGCATAATACAGGAATATAATCTAAAAAGAAAAACATTTACCAAGAAACTCAAATATATATTGTAGTATATAGTATTAAACAGTATGCACCAATCTGACTGTATAATCTGGTTGAATAGTCTCTGGAAAGTGCCTTGAGATGATGTGTTATGAATCGGCGCATTATAAATAAACTAAAATAAAACTGAACTAACAGCCTTCTGCAGTATTATAGTTACTCGAATTAATCAGCTTGCTTTGTCCACCTGTGTAACCTCAAAATCAATAAACTGTACAAACTGGGTCTATGATTTCTTGTTTAATGTTACTATGCTAGTTTTTTTTTCCTTTTAGTTCTGCAATATTTGTCGTAGAAGCACCGTAGTGCTTCAAAAAGGAAACATTTTGTTTTTTTATTTTAAATGAGATCATGCATATTCATTGACATGCCATCAACAGGGTTTAACATCCAAATTGGACAGATTTAGCCACACAGGTTAATTTATCCCATGACGCAAAGATTAAAAAATTAAACCCTGACTTGACCATGATTTAAGTAAACCGATACGTTTGTTTTAACATTTCAGTTTTCAAAAAACATAACATTGGTCTCTGTAAAGTGCCTTGAGATGACATGTATTGTGAATTGACACTATATAAACTAAATAGATTTAAAGATATGGAGGATTTTTTTTAAAGACCTGCCCTCTCCATTAAAAAAAATGCAAAAGCCCATTTCTTCTCGTGTACGCCCCGTTTAAAATGTGCTCCCATAGCTCATAAAAGCTTACTGTGGGACATACATTGGGGACTATATTGCAAACTCAGTTCACCGACCGTCCAGATGACCGCTTTTTGCTCTGTTGGTCACAAAACTCCACCGCGCAGTCCCTGCACCATCTTTAGTCACCACTGTCAGGTAGCGACAGAAAATCCCGTAGCACTTTGCAAAGCATTCTGGGATATATCTGCCTCTTCGTAGACACTCCCTCTTATGACCTGCCATTTTCAAAGAACCAGATGTAACGAAACGTGAGCTTCAATGACTAAAACCACACTGTGGCGAGCTACAGTAAAAGTGTGCATTCACAGAAAAAGCCAACGGGGCAGGCACGTGGGACAGTCTTACATAAACATATCACCAGAATGACAATGACCATTTAGATGATCCACCCACAAAATAGTCCTCTATACCTTTAAGGCAATGCTGAACTTTCAGCTATTGTCCATTAAAGTGTATAATCCGTCACCACTGATTCAACAAATGTATAACCAATAAACTTTATTTCCTATTTTGCACTGTACAAAGCAGTCCTTATACCTGTTGTATGCATTTCTTCCTGGCTGTTTCACTTTGAAACTCATTCACCTTTTGAACAACTTCATTTCCCCATTTTGAGACAGTTTTGTTCTTTGTGTACTTCAGTACGTTTAATGCAACCCAAAAATATAATTCCCCACTTCTTCCTCTGGGCCAAGAATGTTTAGCCTACCCATATTACATGCCAGCATAAGCACCCCTGTGTCTTTGGGAATCATGTACCATAATCTATTAAAAAAAAAAACGAAGAAAAAAAAAAAAAACACACCACAACAGGCAGCATGTAATCCCATCAAGCATTGAAATACAACATTTCAAGAATTGAAAGATTTTTTTTATTTCTAAACTGCTAAAATGTTCTCCCAAGACTTGTGCACTTCATCTGAGAAAACAAAAAATAAAAAGTTAGGGCAGTATTAAAGATGTTTAGCATTTTCTAGTGTCAGTATCAACCCACCTTGGCTCCCTTTAGGTTTCTACTGTGTTCTTTGGAACAACTTGTGCTGCCCAGATCCAGGATTCTGGGGGTTCTCTGGAGCATCAGGACCATGTTCCTTCAGATAATGAGTCTCCTGAGAGTAGTCTCTGCCCCTCTCATGATTTCTGCTGAAGGTAGAGTAGGTGCCAGGAGGGTACTGACCAAACAGGAGCCTATAGTCAAAAGCAGGGTAAGGAAGCCTGTAAGGAAGAGGGTAGGGAAAAGGATAAGGCAACAAGCCACCCAGGACAGGGTTTATAGGGACAGCTGGGTAACCAGACTCCTCCGTCTCCCGCTGGTAATGGCCAAGCTCAGCTTCTTTAACGATGTTGGAAGTCTCCCCAGACTGAAGAATAGGTCCTACAGGCTGTGCAGGTGGGAGAACAGCACCAATGTCCTCAGCATCAGTTGATGAATCCTCAAAGGAAGGAGGAGCAACAAACCAGTCTGCTAATAGAGGGAGATTGAAAAGGGAACTTCAATTTTCTTCATACATTTAGCTATGCCATGTCACTGAATCATTTGAGACTGGTTACCTGTGGGGGGAGACTGAGCAGCTCCAGGCTGTTGAGAGTCAACATAATATGCTGGCATCTGGGAGCCATAATAAACAGGAGCCGCTTGGTACAACCCAGCCATGGGGTTCACATTGACAAACTCCGCTGGCGTTCGCACAAAGGTAGGGTGGCTTGGAGTTTTTACTGCAGGAGCGCTGAAGGACACATGGTCAGCTTGGAAAGGAGCCGCTACTCCCTGAGATGCTGCTTTGATGCCACTGCCTCCCTGGAGCTGTGGTCTTGGATCTAGACTCCAGATAACATTTGTTAAACATCTTCCTGAATTTACTGCAAGTAGATCAGAATAATACTTCACCTTTGACAGGAAGACCACAGACATCCAGAATCAGCAAGACAACAAGGGAAGCCCTGAAACCAAGAAAAAACAAATTAGAAACAGCTTTTAAAATAAATAGACTCCAATACTGAAAGACTCATTGCCATACCCCAGGAGGATCTGAAAAGTCATCATACTGAAGACCAACAGTAAAACAATGCGGGCAGGAGGGTTTATAAATGGAACTCAGATCACTGCTACCAATCAGAGCTTAACAAGCTAACAACACACAGCTGGTGAAGAGAGACTTCCAATAGGAGAAGCTGAAATCGTTGTGTTTAGTTTTCACTGCTTTATTTCAGACCTGCATTGATTTATTTTTAACTTGAAAAGTATGCTGTCTTCAAATTTGACAAAGAAAACAAACATGTTACGTGTTAATTTAAAATACAGTAGAGCAAAGATTAAAGTCTTGTGGTTTCATTCATGCAGCTATAATTTTAATTCTGTTCATGTTGTAACTTTAAAAAAAAACCTTAGGCTTTTTCTAAATCTGGATCCCTGATCAAATCTCTTAATTGAATGATATACACAATCCACAAAACATCTCAACCAATCAGAAGAATAGCATCTCTGTATGGAGCACTGCCTGTCAAAACCCAACCAGTAATACTGTCTCTTAAAGTACAAAAATATGCAAAGGGCAGGAAAAAATAATGAACAGTTTAAATTCAAACAAAACTACTCAACAACAACAATTCATTCAAACCCTTGGAGCTCAATATTTCTAAAGTATAAATTTCTGTCTATCAGGCCGCGGATGGTTACAAAGATGTTTGTCTATCCTTTAAAGCTTAATTTGCACTTCTGATATTCCTGCAAATAGTGTCTTTGCTAGAATTTTCAGCATTTGCTACTTCATATAGGAATAAACCTGTTAGGAACGAAAAGTGAACCCAACAGAGATCATATGTGTAACAGTAACGCATGGCTCTGTTCTGTGCAGAGCTTAGTGTTGGGACCCTTAGATCTGCACAGCTAATTGATGGTATAAGCCACCAGGTTGGACCTTTACCAAAAGACTGTTTTCCATCTGAATGCCCTCTTCATATAAATTATTTTTCATTTCTAATATAATTTAAAAAAGGATGCACCACGGTGAAGGAAGACATAGGTGTTTGCAGCTTTTTTATTGCCTAACTTCCAGGACAACACCTTTTCTTCCTTATCATCCATTTCTCTAATCCTCTCTACACAGCAATCATTTATTAGAGGATTTTCTGTAAAACTTAGAACAATAGCCCTTTGTGAAAACACAGTCAAACACCAACAATGTCCACATATTATGATGGCCTCTATGATTATCAACTAATTTATCAACTAAAGTGCTTCACTGAAAGCCAATGTGTATTGTATTTAATGCAGGCTGATAAAAAATACCAAAACAAACAGATAACAAAGCACCCATAAAATTAATTTGTTTTTGATCAATGTGACCACTTACTGAACTGATGAAGCTACAAGATTAACACCAATTTTAAAACAACAAAGGATTGTGCAACTGCAGTGAAATCGTTTGGAAGTAAAGCCGTAGGTCATGATAACCTGATCAGGCAGACTGATTATAGCATATTACTCCTGCTGTGTTCGTACAGCATAACCACCTCCATTTTTTATATGGCTCAATAATTTATAACATATTTCAAATATTTTCAGTTAATAGTGCGCAAAGGGACTCTTAGGGTATGTTTTTTTTTTTTTTTGTTGCTTTAGAAACGTAATGTTTTGCTTAATATACCATAAAATTATATAACGTGCTTGAGTACAATTCAGGTCACCTGACACGGGCTGAGGTGCAAAACACATGTTAGCTCAGTAAGTAAAAAAAATTAAATTCTATAGCTTGATTGCTTGTTGTCAAGAATATTAAAACCTAGAGAGGGAATAACTGACAGTTTAAAACATGGCTGTGTGTCTTGCTTGGCGTGGGCCAAGAATCAGGCACTTAATTTCAGCAGATCCTATCAGAGACATCCCCAAGTTGTGCTAAGGTGCTAAAATCATGTTTTTACTTTTCACGGCATTGAGAACTCACTGCTGTATCAGTCTATTGAATTGAATGAACCCATTTCTGGTAAACTCTTGACAGAATTTTCCTTTTCATAAATCAAAACCCAGACTCTACACATTTGTCCTCCAGGTACCAGCCAGAGGGAGTCCTAGAGAGGCAGCCAGGAAAAGGAGAGAAGGACTATTTATCATCTGAAGAGTCCGAATTGACCGAGTCAGAGTCCCACCTGAACATGCTGAAGGATGGTAACTCCACCCTTCAGACTGTCCTGCATCCACCCCTCTTACCTTCAGAAGAGTCATCCTTTGTGGTCAACATGTCCATTTGTGTGTTAGGTACACAGCCTTTTGTTCTCAAAATCTTTTTTTGTTGTTGTTGTCATTTACTTTAGTTTGTGGTTAAGGTGGGATAACCTCTCTCTCTATTCTCCGCACCACAGTGCTGATAGTGTGCATCATCAGCTATCTCACCACCTACCATTTTAATTCAATCATTGCTTTGGAAGTGTGGATTTTGGCCTTGCTGTCTGTGTGTCTCCTAATCTTCAGCATCTGCGTTTTCATGGTCTGCAGGCAGCCTCAAACTACCAAGAAGGTCTCCTTTATGGTATGTAGAAACTTGGTTGTTATTCTAAACTTTTCTGTCCTCGAACTCACATTGTGTTTGGTCAAGTATTCATCAGAACACCACATCAGACTAACAGCTCCTTCTTTTTTACCACAGGTTCCCCTTCTGCCCTTCCTGCCTATTCTGAGCATATTTGTTAATATTTACCTCATGGTTCAGTTAAGTGGAGACACCTGGATACGTTTCTCTGTCTGGATGGCTGCAGGTAAATCCCTATCAGCACATGACCACAAATTATACCTTGGTGCCATGCTTATGTTAAAGTCATAAAACTTGAGGGAGAATGATAGATGGTAAATATATTGTTGTTAAACTAGTTAAAAAAAAGGTTAAGTCGTTAAACTTCTAACCCTTTGCCACATTTTGCAATGTTGTAACTGCAAACCTCAATGTATAAGGGGTTGATCTAGAGAGAACAGGGACCAGTGGGATTGATAGGAGTTGAACATTTAGCTGATTGCAGGTTTGCAAGGCCTTTGAGATATGTCCATACCAGCAATGGATGTTCTCCACCCTCCAACCAATGACATCATTCTTCTAGAGCCAGTTTTATTGGTAGGAACAGGAATATGGTAGCTTCAGAAAACAGAATCTTGATGCATTTGAAGGCTGAATTCGTTTCGCAATCTGGATGAATAATGTCTTGGTGGAGGTAAGTGTAGTTAACCCAGCTAGGGGTTAATAAAGTGGTGGAGAATTTGGAAAATCCCAGAAAACACTGTAATGGTTACAGATGTAGGGTGTCTCCCATCCCAGAACAGCTCCTATGCCGTTTTGGAGGAGCCAGAGGACTTGGTGGAGATCTTTGTTGTCAAGGTCAAGAAACACAAGGACATTAAAGAAATCTTGGAGAAGGCTTGAAACACAGGTGGAGCATTGCAGGGACCAAAGAGCGTGACTAGATGTTTAAAATTACCAATAGGGGTTTTTAAGGCTGTTTTCTAATCATCTCCTTGGTGTATATGGAGGAGGTGGTAAGCATTTCGGAGGTCCAGCTTGGTGAAAATTCAGGTGTTGCTGCTGAGCTTACAAGATGGGGTCATGGCTCTTGATGGTAATTTGGTTGAGTCCTCTGTAGTCCATAAAAAGGTGGAGAGATCCGTCTTTCTTGAACAGAAAGAAGTCCAGCCCCAGTGGAGAGGAGGATGGGCAGATGGGCTCATTAGTATGTCTCCATCAACCTTTTTTTTATTTGGAAATGTTATAGAGTCAATTGGACAGTAGAGGGCACCAGGCAATAAGTCAGTGGTGCAGTCATGGAGACAATGAGGTGGTAGAGAGTGGGCCTTGTCTTTAGTGAAAACTTGTATCAAGTCATAATATTCTTTAGTGATGGGCTAAGATCGAAAGACTGGATTGAGGAATTGCCTTTAGGGGTCGTGCCAGGAGCAATGGCATCTTGGAGGCAGGAGGAATGGCAGTCAGGGGACAAGGACTTGATGCTATCGAAAAACATTTTATCCGGGAATTGTGAGCCTTTAACCAGATGTATCCTGGAACTAATATGGGTTAACAAAAGGAGAAGATGTAGAATACTAGTTCTTCAGTACAGTTACTAGAAATAATGAGTTGAATAGTATGGGTTAAATAAGTGAATTGATATAATGAACATCCTTAAAGGGAAGTGGCATGGAGTGAAGTCTGGAATGGTGCTGTTTCAATTTTAAAGTGTTGGACAAGAGACTGTGCAATGACTGTTCCCACCTGGAGTCAATGAGCATTCCGAGTTGAAGAGACTCATAGCTGAACAGGAGGTTGGTAGGAAGAAGTAGTCAGGGAAGAGCTGGCTGATGGTCCCACTGTGGGCACAGTGGGACCTTCTCCTGATTTCTTAGAGGACAGGTGGGTGGCTTTTTCTTTTCCTCTGCATTGACAGCATCTCTCAGCCTGAATATTCAGTCAAAGCAAGAGCAGACATAATTTTTCTTCCTAAATGCAGTGGAAGTTTTATTCAGTTCCCCAGGTTCTGTGATCAACTTCCTGATCTTATGATTTAAAAGACTACCTTTATCTGCCTTAAATAGGGAAAGAATAAATGCATGGATAAAGAATGAAAGCATTGATTGTTTTTTTGGCTTTAGACCATTCTTACCTTGGGAATACACAATTATGTTATTTTACTCAAACGGATGAAACTGTACTTAAGACCGAAAGGAGATTATTCTTCTTTTGAGAATTGTCAGAGGGGTTCACTAATCCTTGTTGACACTGGAAGGTAATGACTGGATAAACTGGGAAACATCTTTAGTGTGTGTATTTGCCTCCCTGTTTGGCTGCATGGAGAAGAGGAATCAGCTTGTAAAATAGCTCCCATATATCTGTGTGAAGGTCAAATAACTTATCTGGATCAAAAGTTCAATATCTTCATTTGTTCTTTGAAGGTGAATATATCTGGAATAGGGAAGCAGGAGGTTTGAAGCATTCAGTCTCAGTGGATAAGCTGACAAACCTTTCTCTCTATCTAGATCACAAAGGTTTGGGGTCAGAAAGCTATTACCAGTGCATCTAGGTGGAAGTTAAAGGTCTGACTTTACGCCCCACACCATGTCACACGTTCAGAAAAGAAATCTGCTAACAAGAAAAAAGAGTGGGCCAGAATAAATAGAATAAGCACAGCTCATTGACATCGATAAAACAGCCAGTCTGCTCTGATCTTGCACGGTTCATCTTTGCATGACAAAATCCACATTTACACCTTTTGAAACCAAACCGAGGAGGGTCTGAGCATGGCAGACATGTTCACAAGTCACTTTTTGCAAGTCCAAGTCAAGTCTCAAGTCTTGAGAGCTCAAGTCCAAGTCAAGTCTCAAGTCTTGAGAGCTCAAGTCCAAGTCAAGTCTCAAGTCTTGAGAGCTCAAGTCCAAGTCAAGTCTCAAGTCTTGAGAAGGCCTGTCGCAATAATCAATTAATCGCACAAAAAATTCTAATCACTTGATTCATTTAAAAAAGTGCAATAATTTTTGTGCTTGCTTGTTTCTCCTTGTGTTTTCATCTCCGTCACTGAGACGGTATAGCCTAAAGGTCGCTATTATATCTATGGAATTATCATTATCTTGAACTGCTAAATGAAAAATACAATTAAAAAAAGCACACGCAAAATTTTTTTCCAGATAAATTTTGCATTTTCTTACAGTATTTCCTGACATTTGTGGTTACAACTTTTTCTAGTTTTAGCAGTAAATGTCTGCTCTTTTATTGAAAATGAGGACTGTGGAAAAAAAAACAATCACAATCCTGCCGTCCACGTACTGTTGCGTCAGTGACGTCAGTGTGTTGCACAGGGAAAAATATGGTTTATGGTTTTCTTTCATTTAAGTGTTAGTTTTATGCTTTGCATGTTTGGAGAGGAAGATATGATTTATTTTTCTTTGTATTTTCTTCTTGAGCTTTGCATGTTTTGATGTTTCTTTTTTATATGATTGTTTGCCTTTATTTTAGACTTTTGAATTTTTCCTGCATGTTGGGTTGTTTTGGTTTGTTTTTCCCTTGTGACAATCCATGCGCACTGGACTGAAGTAGTTGTCTGAGGAGGCGGAGTGCATTAATTGCGCTGCGTAATGCTGCGCTCAGGTGTGAGCAAGGGCTGATTAAAGCCGACATAAAAGGAGTCTGAAGGAAAGGAGAAGGAGAACGGAATCTGCAGGTGACAGGCACATATCTTCCGACGGGGTTTTGGCGCGTGGATGCTGGCGTTCTCCTTGCTTCTCTTTTTAGCTGGATCGGTCTGGAAAGGGGTTTGGCACGCCAGGGAGTGGAACAGTGCTGGAGCGCCGCGTGTTGGTGGATCAGCCAGTGGGTGCTGCAGGCCGATCACTCGCACCAGCAGCAGCATAACAAGCGGAGCCCAACTTCCAGCCTGTGATTTTTAAGGAAAACTCTTGAATTTTAGGTTTTATCAGGAGAAGAAAAGGACTGTTTTATTATGCCACTTTTGCTGTGGCTTTTTGTATAAATAAAACACTTGAACTTGAGTGCTTCACGGTTTGGGTCTTTGAGTTTTTTTTTTTTTTTTTTTTTTTTTTACCTCTTCTGTGTGCGGTTAAGGCGAGCGGCGATCAGTCAAGTTAGTAAAACAAAAAACACTTGAATAAGTGTTTTTACACTGGAATAAAATATTGTTCACAAGTCGGAAATCACGAGTCTCAGTCGAGTCTGAAGTCCTTTAAATGCAAGTCTAAGGCTACGTTCACACTGCAGGCCTTAATGCTCAATTCCGATTTTTTTGTGAAATCGGATTTTTTTGCATGTCCGTTCACACTTCCAAGTATATGCGACTTGTATGTGATCTACTGTGTGAACTGAAAGCGTTCAACCGAAGTGTCCCGCATGCGCACTCGAGGACGCGATGACGTCACATGTAGCAAGCGTCCTCAGTGTTTGCGGAAGTAAACATGACTCGTAATACCGCAGCGTATATTGCGTTCTTTAAGTTCTTCTCCAACAGGAGCAGGCACATTACGAATGAAATCTTTTTAAGAAGATCAAAAAGAAAGAGAGCCAGATTTCTTGCAATGGCGTTTTGTGGGGCAGTAATAGCAACGTCCGTACAGAGCTCTCACTGAGCTCTCTATTGACTGCTCTCTGTGTTATCTTCCGCCATGGTTGTTAGTTTTTCCCACCTCCGCTTAGTAGGACGCAGATTAGTAACGTTTAGTAACATTTGTCAAGTATCAATGACGTGTAGGTCGGATGAATGCGACCTGGCCGTACAGACACAGGTCGCATTTGAAAAGATCAGATACGTATCGGATTCAGGACCACATATCCAAGTGGCCTGGGTCGCATTTGAAAAAATCCGATCTGTGTCGTTCAGACTGTCATAAAAAGATCAGATGCAGGTCACATATGGGCAAAAAAATCGGAATTGGGTCACTTCAGGCTGCAGTGTGAACGTAGCCAAAGTCGAGTCTGAAGTCATTAAATATGCGACTTAAGTGCGACTCGAGTACGAGTCACAAACTCGAGTCCCCATCTCTGGAGCATGGTAACCTTAGACTTTTAGACTTAGACTTCTTTTAATGTAATTTTGTAAACAGAGTGTATACAAAAGAAATTTCGTCTTGTACTATTCTCACGTCAACCAACATAACTGTTGAGTGTAAATTTACCACAACTGAACTGGACCGTGCCAGACATTACCAAACCGTGCTAAATCTAGCACATGTTCAACAGTAGGGCTCAGCACAGTTGAGTTGTGGCTCAGTTCTCTGATAACAAAGAGTGCACGAGCAGGCTGTGTAATCTCCTATTTACAGTTAGCGGATTTTCGGAGTGTCCGGTTTTGCAATTCACAGATCTCTTCACCTGTTCACAACACCAACTTCTTCCCAGCTTATTAACAATAAATGGCATAAAAGCGTGGTAAGACTTGGGATAATGTAGAGACTGAATCTGGCTCAAGATTGTTGAAATCTAATGCAGCTTTCTAGCTTGCAGTTTCAAACCCATGAAAAATACATGTTGCAGGGCTTTTAGAACTTTGATATCCATTTTCTGAGACTGCTTTGTTAAAACAGGTGAGGGTCATCTAATTATGAAAAGTCAAGAGAATGGACAAAGAAGATGCGTCTTTAATGTCTATAAGGATGGACTTATATGAATTTTAACTGGAAGGATGTTTCTTAGGTTTCCATGCTCTGTTTCACTTTTTTTCATGTGTTCAGTACTTGTTCTATTTAACAAAATATTTTAAGTTATATAACATTTAAATTATTCAAATACTTGTAAATACATTGGAACCTTGACTAAACATATATAGCTCCTTTCCTGTACCTCATTTTTGAACTTCTTTTGCAGGCTTCTTGATCTACTTTGGTTATGGCATTTGGCACAGCACCGAGCGACAGCGCCACTGTCAAGGTGCGCAGAACAGTAACCACACCAACCAGCAAAACATGAAGACCATCCAGGACAAGCAGGGCGAAATGGGATCCTCCTCTGCGAAGGAGCAGGAGTGCTTCATCAGCCCTGATAAAACCAGCCAGTGTTAAAGTTTCCAAAGTGTTTGACTAACTCCAAGAGGCAGCTGATACAAGAAAGCACTCAGCGGCTTCAGCCTCAATGCGCCTGTACATATGGTTCGACATGTGTACAAATCTCACTAGCACCTTTGGTCTGCAAATGCAGTGTCAGTATTCTGTATCAGTACCAGCATGATGAGAAATTGCTCTGTCCCTGTGACTGGACCACAGTGCAGTAGTTCCCATGGGGCCTTTGTGCACAGGCTTGGAGGAATAAAGGACAGGTAACACACTGGAGAGCAGAAGCAAAGATATGTGGCTTCATGAGGGACTGGAGATTTGATTGCAGAAAACATCTTATAGTCCTCCTGTGATACAACCAAACACACACTCACACACACATATATGTATGTATATAAAAACACATTTGTCTGGACTCTTCCATTTTTTTCACAAATGAATTTAATTATATTTTTGATGACCTCATAGAACGTAAACTTGTGCCTTTCTAATGTCTGTAGAAAACAAGACTTTACACACCTTGACCTACAGTGGATATCATTATGCTAAAAAATGTCAATTAAATTGTCGAAATGAGAACCTGACAAAACATTTCAAGGCTTTCTACACTTTTACGCCGACATATCTGGTATAGTTTCTGCAAAAAAAAACCCCAAAATCAACTAATAAAAGCATTAAACAAATCTGTGAGAGACAATAAACCTACAATAGCTTATTACCTGAAGCTTTACACCCTTATTAGTTCCTATGTGCCAATTTTATTTTATTTCTACTGATTTCATTATTTTGCATCCGGCTACTCAGCCATAATTTGTGGAAGGGTTAGGTTGGATTGAAAAGATCTTTTTGTATGAAGGTATCAGTCAGTAGTGTGGTTGTAGAAGTTTATATCTATCCAAATACATCACAATCAGTAGAGACAATAAACACAAAAATGTCAAACCAGTCTGTGTATCTGCCAACATGCCTTCAGTCTAAAACAGAAGAAAAAACTTCTCCAGTTCTGAATTCTGAAATTTGAGAAACAATATTTAACAATATGTTGTTTTCTTTTAAAGAAAACATCCAGTCTGCTAACGTGTTACAAAGCTGCATGTAAATATTGGTGTGATAAAACCAGCCCCAAACGTTTAGGGTAAAACCTCCAAAAGTTAACTTTTGGTACAAAAAGTAATACTGAACATCATCAAATCTGCAGCAGTACATGGTAGTGGCAGCATCATGCTATGGGTTTTAATTTCTCTCATTGGAACTGCAATTGCTTATCCAAGTACTTTAAGTTTTGAACAATTTTAAATACCAGTCCATACTGATTGTTAACCTCTAGGTGTCTGCTATAAAGTTTAATACTAAGGGGGGGTTCATTCTACATACATGAACTTATGTGGTCTACATCCGCATTAACAAAATTCTGACTGCACCACAAGATTGACAAAGATTTGGATTAGCCAAATCATGTCCATTATCCAAATCTGACAGGGAATGGTTAGAATCACCAAAATCTTGAAGAAATCTGCAAGTCACATGATGAAGGAACATGATTCCTGATCAGGCTGATGGATACCGATGGACTCAAGACCGGATGCTAAAATTATTCGGCCAAGGATGTTTACCTTATGTATCTAAGTTGCATCTTATTTTAGGTTTCACTCTTTCCACTAGTCTCTCACGTTTGCTTTTCTGCTAAATTGTAGAGGGATAAAAGTTTAGAACGTCGAGATCCAAGTCTCATGTTTGAATCTATGGTATGTTGTCACTCTTAAGGAGCCACCTGTAGACACAGGGAGTTAGCTTTGCTAGTTGAAGTACTGGAGGAAAATTATATTTGAGATGACCCAGTTTAAATCTTCCCTGTAGTCCCTAAAAGCCCCTCTAGCTGTGATCTTATGAAGCACAAATTGACTCGTTTTATTACGTTTGTTGTGTTGACTATGAACTGTTAAGTTTGGAAATAAGGAAATATGGATATCGGCTAAGATGTAAAACCTTCATGAAAATGTTTTACAGCATATTTTGTTTTTAATACTGTCCTGGTATGACTAATTTTATTCCTGCGTGACCCTGATGGAAATGTTCTCTTTAGTCTCATTTAAAAGGGTTTGGAGAGTTTTGGTTTTTTCAAGGTGATGGGGGTGGCTCGATCTTACTCTTGTCGGGCTGATGGTTAGTTTTTGATATGTTGAAAATACATTAAAGGGGTGAGACACAATGATGCATGTTGCTTATTGATCATGTCAAACAGTGCAGGCGGAGCCTTTAGCAACCTGAACGTAAGAAATTAGGTGCAACACTGGAAGTAATTAAATTTAGGTGGAAGAACCTTTAACCAGCTGCACATTGATCATGAGACTGGTTTATCCCTTTGCTACTTTATATTTGTCTCCTGATTTAAGAGACACCAATAAATTAACTAAAAGCTGAATTTGACTAAATATCTTAATGCTTCTGCTCTAATCACATTTGACAAGCTAGTTGCAAGAAGGTATAATTGTCTGGCAAAATAGCTCACTTGAGCCAATATCTAGTGTTCATCCCAGAGTTTTTGTATTAAGGTTGAATTGCACCGCTCAAGAAAAGTTTTATTCAAACTTTAAGCCTGTTCTCAGACTAAATCACCCTGTTGAACTTTTCATTGATGGCTCTTTAGAGGTTTGGGCTAAAATGACAGCTGAGAACTATACAAAGTGAAGCTAAACCAGTTGAAGAGAATTTCACCCACGGTATTAAAACTGGCTTTAATTGACAAGATCCATCATTAAAATCATTTTTAAGCAATAGTTTTATTGCTCAGCAAAATCTTGGTTTCTGCCAGATGTGATGTCAGTTTTATCGAGACCACAACTCCCAATTTATTTTCTCTATCAGAACAGACTTAAGGGAGAGGACTTTTGTTTAAACTAAAAGACTTCGTCCTTGTTCTGAATTGTATGAAAAACTTGCCACTGAAATGTGTCCCACCTAAGGTGAACATTAGTTGCTCTTGACCTTGCAGCCATGTTCGTTGAACAGTCTGATGTAACACATGGACTCCTATACTGACGAGATAGAAAAAAAAACAGCTTTTCAAGTAAAATAAAAAATAAACCAGAATCACAAGACTATTTGGATAGCACAACAGACCATGCTGATGGGCCTAATAAATCTGAGTACCTGACAAATGGTATTCATACTCTGGGGGGGGGGGGTCAGCGTTATGCATATTAATTGAACTGGCAACACACTGGCAGCAGTCCTCTAATAAGGGGCAGCGGGAACAACAAAATCTGATGCCACCACAAAGATCAGTCATTGCAATTCATATGAGATTTGTGAAGATTTTTATTTTATAACTGCTAAAAACACTAAACTGGTACACTTCAACTGGGGAGGAAAAAAAAAAAAAAGAAAAAAAAAAAGAAAAGTTAGGGCAGTATTAGTAAAGATTTTTAGTATTTTCTAGTGTCAGTATCAACCCACCTTGGCTCCCTTTAGGTTTCTACTGTGTTCTTTGGAACAACTTGTGCTGCCCAGATCCAGGATTCTGGGGGTTCTCTGGAGCATCAGGACCATGTTCCTTCAGATAATGAATGGACTGAGAGTAGTCTCTGCCCCTCTCATGATTTCTGCTGAAGGTAGAGTAGGTGCCAGGAGGGTACTGACCAAACAGGAGCCTATAGTCAAAAGCAGGGTAAGGAAGCCTGTAAGGAAAAGGATAAGGCAACAAGCCACCCAGGACAGGGTTTATAGGGACAGCTGGGTAGCCAGACTCCTCCGTCTCCCGCTGGTAATGGCCAAGCTCAGCTTCTTTAACGATGTTGGAAGTCTCCCCAGACTGAAGGATAGGTCCTACAGGCTGTGCAGGTGGGAGAACAGCACCAATGTCCTCAGCATCAGTGGATGCATCCTCAAAGGAAGGAGGAGCAACAACCCATTCTGCTAATGGAGGGAGATGGAAAGAGGAACTTCAATTATCTTCAAACATGTAAAAGATATTTATGCCACATCACTGAATCATTTGAGACTGGTTACCTGTGGGGGGAGACTGAGCAGCTCCAGCCTGTTGAGAGTCAACATAATATGCTGGCATCTGGGAGCCATAATAAACAGGAGCTGCTGGGTTGTACCAAGCCATGGGGTTCACATTGACAAAGTCAGCTGGCGTTTGCACAAAGGTAGGGTGGCTTGGAGTTTTTACTGCAGGAGCGCTGAAGGACACATGGTCAGCTTGGAAAGGAGCTGCTACTCCCTGAGATGCTGCTTTGATGCCACTGCCTCCCTGGAACTGTGGTCTTGGATCTAGACTCCAGATAACATTTGTTAAACATCTACCTGTATTTACTGCAAGTAGATCAGAATAATACTTCACCTTTGACAGGAAGACCACAGACATCCAGAATCAGCAAGACAACAAGGGAAGCCCTGAAATCAAGAAAAAACAAATTAGAAACAGATTTTAAAATAAATAGACTCCAATAGTAAAAGACTCGTTGCCATACCCCAGGAGGATCTGAAAAGTCATCATACTGAAGACCAACAGTAAAACAATGAGGGCTGGAGGGTTTATAAATGGAACTCAGATCACTGCTACCAATCAGAGCTTAACAAGCTAACAACACACAGCTGGTGAAGAGAGACTTCCAATAGGAGAAGCTCAAATTGTTGTGTTTGGTTTTCACGGCTTCTTTTCAGACCTGCATTGATTTACTTTAACTGACATGGTGTGCTGTTTTAAACATTTTATACTAGATTTCTTCAAACTTGAATAAACAAAAATAAACAAAAACATGTTAAGCGTTGAGTTAAGATAAGGATGCAGAGTTATCCCAGGCAGGCAGGGAGCAAACACCATTAGAAGGACACTAAATGTAATATCATACAAAACTTAAACCGCAATCTTCCCTCCTGATTAGTTTGAATGCCCAAAAGGCTTTTGACAGGGTAAAACTCAGTTTTCTATACCAGACATTGCCAGGATTTGGATTTTCACAGCAATTTGCTGAAAGGGTGAAAATAATCTATAAAAATCCAAAATCCCGAGTTTGAATTAATGGATATTGCTCAGAATTTTTTTGATCTCAGGAGAGGAGTTAGGCAGGGGGACTGTTTAAGTCCACTACTATTCGTGGTTAATATAGAACCATTAGCAGAAGCAATAAGACAGAATAAACAAATTTGTGGAATAAGAGATGAGGGAGGGGTAGAACATAAAATATCTTTATTTGCAGATGACTTACTTCGTAATGTTAACAGAGCCACCAAGGTCAGGTAGCAATGATGTTATCAGGTGAATGTCCAGCACAACTAAAAGAGAAAGTAAAGTTCAAATGGACCAATAAAGGATTTAGATAATTGGGTATAATTATTACACCCCAAACTACACAGTTATTTGAAACAAATTATGAGAAGCTGAGGAAGGAAATTATAAAAGACCTAGAAAGATGGGAGATTCTACCACTCACCCTCGGGGGGAGGGTAGAGACAGTCAGAATGAATATCTTACCGAGACTACTGTTTATATTCCAATCACTACCAATCTCCATCCCCAACTCGTTTTTTAAAGAGATGGATAAAAGAATATTAAGGTTTGTATGGCAAAATAAAAAAGCAGGAATTAAACTTAAAATACTCCAGTCCCCAAAGAGTAATGGAGGGCTAGGTTTACCGGAATTAAAGAACTATTATTGGGCTGCTCAATTGAGAGCCATAGCCCTATGGTTAGCAAAGGATCAAGAGACAATATGGGTAGATATGGAGCAAAGGGCCTGCCCAAATCTGTCCCTAGATACACTGCCCTTCACAACAAAGCGGGTTCAAAGAAATCCCAAGATTCAAAATTACTGGATTAAGGAAACAATTAATATTTGGTCAAGAATAAAGAAAAAATGTAACTTTCCAGACTCTATATCAAGAATTGTAAAAATTAACTAAGATTCCAGACTTTATCCGTGCTACTATGGACACAGGGTTTGAGAGATGGACAAAAGGGGGACTGGTATTTATAGAACAGCTTTTTAAAGGGTCAACAATGAAATCTTTTGAACAAATTCAACGGGAATTTGACTTACAAAAAAATTATTTTTACAGATATCTGCAGCTCAGACATTACCTTCAGAATCATAGTGTATGGCAGAAAATCTCAACAGATATGACCAAGACGGAAGAAATTCTATTATCAATAGCAAAAGGTGAATCAAAAAAAGGCATGATCTCAAAACTATACAAAAGCCTACAATATGAATCCAATATCAATAATAAGGGGACCAAGGAGAAGTGGGAATAGAGGCTAATATAATAATAGCAGATGAGGACTGGGAAGAAACATTTAGCTCTGGACACAAGTTAACCAACAGCCCAACATGGAGGGAATTTGACTGGAAAGTCAAGATGCGTTACTTTAGCTCTCCAATTATTACATCTAAATATGGCGGGACATCTTGGCTATGCTGGAGAAACTGTGGAAAGGTGGGGGATTTTACTCATATATTTTGGGATTGTCCAAAGGTGGTCGAGTTTTGGAAAAATGTGCAAACAGATATAACAAATATTTTAGGCATTTATTTAGATCTGGATATATCTGTAGATATTTTAGGAATAATTCCCATGGACATGATCAATAAAGACAATAAATACTTGATTAGGGTCATGCCCCTGATCGCGAAGAAGTGTATAACATATGCATGGTTAAGGCCACAACCTCCTAGTATCACAGAGTCGATCAGAATTAGAAAAGTCTACATTATGGAAAAAACAACATCAAGACTACAATTTAAGCTGGAGACTAAGTGGAAATCTATAGCTAAATTCATATTGGGACCTTGACGCCTCTTTGGTCTTTTTTTTTTTTTTTTATAAGATTGTGTATCTATTGACTTTATCTTGTATTATGTGCTTTTATTACTTTAATCTGTTTTCCCAGTGTGCCTACTGTTGTACGTTTCACCGTAATCATTATGACTTATAAATCCATGGATGTTGTTAATGAATATGGGTTTCTCTTAGTTGGGCTAATGTCTATCTGAAGGAAATGCATCTTATTTGTCGTTTTTGGAGGATCTTTTTGTTATTTTTTCCATCAATAGCCCCTGGATAACTGTTAACGGAGCTGGAATAGACAGCCTGTATGCCTGATGTAAGTAAAAGGTCTAAAAGGTTCTTTAAAAATCAGATATTAAGATGTGAATTGTGAGATGTGACAAGGGTGGACATATGTATGTGTTGATATAAAAATTGTTATTGAAAATGAAAAGTTCAAAAAAAGATAAGGATGCAAAGATCAAAGATGAAAGTAAAGCGTATTATACTTTTTTTACGACAAAGCAACCGTTGTTAATCCTGGTTTATTCTTTTCTTTTATATGTTCTAGAAGTAAATTATAAAATTACTTTCTCATAACACAACAAAATGTTGCTTGATTTTTGTGAACAGCTTTCAGCATCAACTCTGTTGACCTCATGTAGGACAGGGTGGGAACGGGCTTTGCAGATGTATTCCTTCCATGTGAGGGACACAACCTTTGTCCTGCCCCCCTGGGAAAAATCTAAATCTGTATAAGTTCTTTTTTCTCAAAATAAGTGCATTTGTTCTTGGTTTGAGGAGGTAAAAGAGACATTTTGCCAATCGAACGAGACAATTTACACTTAAAATAAGAAAACACAATTGCTTTGTTTTATTTCAAGTATATGTTATCTAATTATCTTGTTTTAAGAGTAAAAATACTAATTCCACTGGCAAACTGTCTCGTTTACCTACTCATATAAAGGGTAAATACATTTAATTTAAGAAAATTTTACTTATTTGTAGGTTTTTCCAGTGTGCAGTCTTTCTTCCAGGGCAAAACTGGTACATTTTTCTTTTTGACTGAAACAGCTGCAGCCTCAGGTAGATCAGGACAATGTTGAGTTTTTTAACAGCTTCCACAGATTATTCTTGGCAGGTTAGGCCCTACTTTCTTTCAATGTCCTTCCCAACTGCTCAAGGAATATCCTTCTCTTGAAAAGTATTCCTTCTCTTGAACTCTCCAAATTTTTATTTTCCAGGATGATTTTTTCCCCCCGTCGTGTTGTGCAACCTTAATATATTTATTGCCCACCCCTGTAGGGGTGGTAAATATCTAATCAATAAGATATTATTTGGACAGTCATATATTGTTTATGAATACACACCCAACTGTCTGTATGTCAGAACAACAAATGAAAGCTTGAATCGAGCTTAAATCATGGTCAAACAGATAATTCTGCAAATACATGGAATAAATTTGACACAACATCAGTTCAAAATATAAGTTTACTAACAAAACTCATTCAGCTCCAAGTCAAACATATTTAAGTTAAAAACTCTTGACTAAAAACTCATAAAATTCAATTAAACTACTACATACAAAGAGGAAGGGAAAACATGGATGAAAACCATATTATCAGCATTGTGGAGCAGAACTGCACCCTCTGCTACAATAAACATGTTAAAATGACATATGGACATTGGTTCTCAATGTCCAAAATGATCATTGCTTATGGCCCAACAGTTGGCTGGTGTGCTAAACAGGAGAAAGGTGGATGAAATGTCCTGGACATGAGCAGATGAATACCTTGTTTGCCCTGGAATCACCCAAATGATGTTTGATGTTGCTGTTGCTGGCTAAATTTGACATTTTGCAGTTCTTTGACACAGAATATCTCTCCGTCAGCTTCAGGGCTTTGCTCTTCTTGTCCTTTATCTGAAGATGGATCATCTTTTGGCTTGAATTCCACCCTATCTTCCTCTTCAGTTACATCTTTATCATCTTATTCCTCCTGAAAGTATCTCATCCATGAAAGAAAGCTTGAAGGTGTAAGCACGATAGCTTTCCTTTACAATCTGATGTACAGTGAAACGTCAACCAGTATAGCAGGCCATTTTATCATAAAATTAGGTTTACCACACATTCAAGATATCTTGAATTGGTTTTTGACTAGCCATATGAGTTAATTAAAATATCTGTATTTATATATACTGTAGACTTAAATACTAATTTCAGATATCTATAATTCACTCTGACTTGTCTAAATGATGTCAGATTTACCATTCATTTGTATGGGGTCTCCAGTTTAAGCCATCAGCAAACAATACAATCTGAAAGGTGTATTTCAGATAACAATTGAATTATGACTAGCCATAAATTAGATTTGAGATATTTTGCTTTATGTTCTGACTGGTCATAAATCAAATTCAAGATATCTCAAATTACCTTGATATTCAGGATTTCTGGAATGTATAAAATATCTTAAAGCAGGATTTGACAAGTGGGGATTCAATTGTGGATACCTTGAAGACATTATAATGATTAGGCAAATTAAATTTATAGATATCTAGACTTGTATTTTGATTTGTTTAAACTCCTTTGGAGATATCTTAATAGTTTGAGATATCTTGAAGATTTTTTAAAACCTATAAGAACTTTGTATTTCAGATGTCTTGAATTATCATTTTGACTCATCACAATTACGTAGAATTTACCTAGCATATTTGGTGGAAAGTTCACAAAGGCATTTTCTGGTGTTTGCTATTCAGTTCTCTGCAATATTTCCAACATGACAGTTTCTAAAATGACTTAGTGCTGCACCACGCAGTGATTCCATATTGCAGAAAATTGAAATTTACCAGTACCATTGATTTGTTTCACATGTTCATAAGACAAGCCATTTTTTATTTATTTTTTTTCTCAAGAGTGTTTCGTTTGGAAATTTGTAGACGGTCCCTAAAAAAACCCTGCCTGTGAGAAGAGGGCACAATAGAGAGCAACTGGCCGAAGTATTAGCTTCTGAATCGCATGCACTGTGAGATAGGTGCCACTAACTCTGTGGAGCTTGAATATCCGGCCTCAGACTAATTTCCTCGCTGCAATTCACAGCATATTTCTGGAGCAGTCTTCAAGTTCACAAAGTTTTTGCTCTCTGCATATCCCATACTGCCGAGTTCTTTCTATAGTATGGCACTTTGAATCAACTTTGTAAAGAAAAGCTAGCACCATTGCCGCCCAAAATTCTGCAGGCAACTATTTGGTCAGTTTAGGGACAGCAGAAGGGGGTTATTTGGTAATTCAGATTAATCTGAATTACGTTTGAGATATCTTGATTGTAATTCCAGATGTGTGTCACTTTAAATGACGAATCAGGTTACGTCATTTGAGATTCCTCAAAATGTATTTCGACTCTCCAAAATGTAAATGGAGATCTTTAATTTTCACTAGTCATAATTCCATATATTTTAAATTCCTCTTCAGCATAGTCAAAATTTAGTTTTTTCTTCTAGTCAAAACTTTTTTTATATCTTAAAATTACTGATAGTCAGAAGTTAATTTTATGATAAATTGGCCTGCCATACCTCATGGCTTCAGCAAGTATCAACTAGGCGTACTTTGATTAAGTGCACCTTAATCATAGTACAACTTTGAGATCTCTGCCAATTTTGTATTTATGTCAGATTGTGTTTGGCAACTTGTGTAATGTGGGGGGTTAGATGCAGAAAAAGTTTGAACTTTTTCTGGTCTTTAAATGCTTTTCTAGACAAAAAAAAAAAAAAAGAAAAAAAACCCATAAGACTTCTAATCTTTATACCATACTGTTGTACAGCCCACATAGATGCATACCCAGTAAAGAGAGAAAAGAATAACGTCAAGGGACTGGAACAGTCCTGGGGCTGACGACGTTTCACTAGCACGCACAAGTACACATTGAGAAACCGTTTCATGTTTATTCCAACAAATGGTGTGACAGCACATGTACTGAATGCCTAAACCACCGCAATACAGGTTAACCATCTTTAATGGGGTTACTTGTCAGTGATTTAGTATCAATTCAGACACGTTTGAGTTTTCTAGCCTTAGTTGGAAGGATAGAAGGCTGTGGTTTGTGTGAAGCTTTTTGCCAATTGCCTTCAACAACCCCAGTGTTCCCATTAGTGGCCAGGAAAGGATGATTTATATATTAAACTAAATTGTAGTTTATGTAACGAGTTGCAGTTTTGTAAAGATAAGCCACATAAAAGCCAAGTTGCATTGGTCCCTGTACGACTCATCTACAATAAGTACCAACATCACAGGCAGAATATAACACAATTTGACAACTTGCTAATCCAGGTAGTCCTTTCGGGTGCCATGTTGCCATAAATATCCAAATTAGACTCTACCAATTTGATTTCAAAGCGATTTCTGCAGCTGTAAATCAGTGATTCAGCACGAGAGGGGACCTACAAGTTAGAGGACCTGGATGGAGAGAAATGTGTGGAACGTCATTTCTGTCACAGCCATCCTGGATGGCTTTCAGTCCAGTTTAGATAAGCTAGCAACACAGGGGCATTTGTTACAACTAATCATTTAGTTTTCAGTGGGCTAAGTTTAGTCTTGCTCCATTACATGCATTTTGAATGTGTGCAAATCATAATCTGATGCAACCACAATGAGCAATATTTGCTACATTCAGACATTGAAATTCATAGAAGTCTGGGACTTGAAATGTTTATTTTAAAATTTCCAAAGGGTTCTGTCAAGACCGGTGCAATTAATCTAAGGAGAAAAAAATAAAGTTAGTGCAGTATTAGTTAAGAGGTTTTGAATCTGTGGGTTTCAGTATTAACCTACCTTGGCTCCATTCAGGTTTCTACAATGTTCTTTGGAAAAACTTGTGCTGCCCAGATCCAGGATTCTGGGGGTTCTCTGGAGCATCAGGACCATGTTCCTTCAGATAATGAATGGACTGAGAGTAGTCTCTGCCCCTCTCATGATTTCTGCTGAAGGTAGTGTAGGTGCCAGGAGGGTACTGACCAAACAGGAGCCTATAGTCAAAAGCAGGGTAAGGAAGCCTGTAAGGAAGAGGGTAGGGAAAAGGATAAGGCAACAAGCCACCCAGGACAGGGTTTATAGGGACAGCTGGGTAGCCAGACTCCTCTGTCTCCCGCTGGTAATGGCCAAGCTCAGCTTCTTTAACGATGTTGGAAGTCTCCCCAGACTGAAGGATAGGTCCTACAGGCTGTGCAGGTGGGAGAACAGCACCAATGTCCTCAGCATCAGTGGATGCATCCTCAAAGGAAGGAGGAGCAACAACCCATTCTGTTAATAGAGGGAGATAAGAGGAACATTGGTTTTCTTCAAACATGTAAAAGATATGTATGCCATGTCACTGAATCATTTGAAACTAGTTACCTGTGGGGGGAGACTGAGCAGCTCCAGCCTGTTGAGAGTCAACATAATATGCAGGCATCTGGGAGCCATAATAAACAGGAGCTGCTGGGTTGTACCAAGCCATGGGGTTCACGTTGACAAAGTCAGCTGGCGTTTGCACAGAGGTAGGGTGGCTTGGAGTTTTTACTGCAGGAGCGCTGAAGGACACATGGTCAGCTTGGAAAGGAGCCGCTACTCCCTGAGATGCTGCTTTGATGCCACTGCCTCCCTGGAGCTGTGGTCTTGGATCTAGACTCCAGAAAACATTTGTTAAACATCTACCTGAATTTACTGCAAGTAGATCAGAATAATACTTCACCTTTGACAGGAAGACCACAGACATCCAGAATCAGCAAGACAACAAGGGAAGCCCTGAAATCAAGAAAAACAAACAAATTAAAAACAGATTTTAAAATAAATAGACTCCAATAGTAAAGACTCTTTGCCATACCCCAGGAGGATCTGAAAAGTCATCATACTGAAGACCAACAGTAAAACAATGAGGGCAGGAGGGTTTATAAATGGAACTCAGATCACTGCTACCAATCAGAGCTTAACAAGCTAACAACACACAGCTGGTGAAGAGAGACTTCCAATAGAAGACCTGGGGTCCGTTTCATAAGGCCATTTAGTCTCTGTTGTTCCATTTGTAGATCACTAAAATAAAATTCTTCTTGGTCAAAATCACATTCCTAGGAATAAAAGATTCTATAAACAACATTTTTGCCACTAAGAACTGCTTTTCAGATAGTTAAAACTGAAATTATACTAATAAGATATCTAGAAGTGTTTACACATTTTAAGTGGCAGTGACATTCATTAGCTTGGCTGAATATGTATTTATAACATCTGAAATATGTTTCTAACTGATGAAAACAATACAAAAATGAACAGTATTTGTAGGAATATGGAGATGTTAAATGCGTTTCTAGACATCCAGAATGTTTATTTTCGATATGTAGAATTTCATTTTGTTTGAAAAGTTAATTTTGACGAGGAAAACTTTTATTTCAGATATCAATTATACCTTCTCAGTCACAATAAAAAATATTTAAAATGCCTGCCACAGCCTGTTCTAGTCACGATAACATTAATGTGGGCTGGAGTATTGATCGGTCATCATGAACTTTTTGGACTGGTGTAAGAAGAGGCACCTGTGTCTTAACACCAAAGAGATGGTGGTCGACTTCAGGAGAAGAGCCCCGCCTCACTCCCCGGTGAAAGTCCAGGGGAGGGAGATAGAAACTGTGGAGAGCTTCAAAAACCTGGGTGTTCAAGTCAATAATAAACTGGACTGGACTCATAACCAGAGTTGTTTTCGTCAGTGATGAGGATGACAAAATCATTTAATTGATGCTCGTTTTTTTCATGACGATAACGAAAACTGACAAGCTTAATATGGTGCAGAACTCCGAGTCTGTGCTTCATGCTCCACACTGATTTTTTGCTCTTAGCATTATGGCTTTTCCTGCTCTCACTACTTAGTAAACTATATGGGGCTGATCGTCCTCTGCCAAGTGTAACAAATCCCTTTACTATCAATATTTTATTTCTTCCAGCTCACAAGAGTTGATACTAAATATTCTTTAATTTCTACCAAAAGCAATCCCTAAATTATATCCAAATAAAATATTTCGTTACATTCTGTTTATTTTTGGATAAACAGCCAGATGAGAATGTACATAGATCTTTGAATACTTCTCTCTCATTATTCTCATTTCTATCTATTTAAATATGTCAATTTTTCCTTGTTTTGTCATTAAAAAAAATTCAATGTTTCCTTTGAATATGTCAACATTTTAGTCATTCAGTTTTGGTCTGGATTGGCATGGAATTATAAGGCAATTATGTAGGTTCTCTCTGTAATTGTTTATATCAAAACCCTTTGAATTTAAATCTATGTTGACCCCTGAACAGCGGTAACTAAGGGGAAAATTCTCAGAGATAAAGCCAAAATTGCCAAAGTAGTAAGAAGAATGCTTTTGTTCTTTGCTTTTTTGGAGCAATGAAGATTTTATTGATCTGTGTGTAATGCAGAATTAATAGTAGATCAGGAAGTGTTTTGCTTCATTGTACATTTTGTTAGCTTGTCTGTCTGCTATATTAACCAATATGATATGTTGAACTAGATCTGCCATTTTCACAACTTTTGTGAGACACTTTATAAAGTAGTGCATTAATTCATAAAAAAAAGTTGATTTGAATTCTATAAATCAAAGTTTTCTGCCCAACAGCTATGATGAACTGCACGGCAACATTCTATACTCAGCTATGGTAGTATCTAGGCAAGAGCTGTCAGTCTGGTAAAGAATCTGTTTTTTATTCAAAATTGTAAAGATTTACTTGTTTTTGCAACATAAAACTGACTAAAACGTTTTGAGTTTTAGTCTACTAAAACCGACTTAAAACTATCACATATCGTAATGACTAAAATGCGACTAAGACTAATAATAGTTTTCGTCCTGATGACTAAGACTAAATCTAAGATGGCTTTCAAAAACAACACTGACACTGACGCCCTGTATAAGAAGGGCCAGGACCTCCTGAGGATGCTGAGGTCCTTTGAGGTGCATGAGCAGACCTCTGCTTAAAACCTTCTACGACTCTGCGGTGGCATCAGCGTTCCTCTATGCTGTTGTCTGCTTGGCCACTAGCAGTGCAGAGTGGGACAGAAAGAGACTGAACAAACTGGTGAGAAATGCCGTTTCTTTTCCTAGGCTGCACTCTGGACTAGTGGAGGAAGTGGCTGAGAGGAGGGTGCTGTCCAAGCTTACATCCATTATGAACAACACCTTCCACCTTCTACACCAGACTGTAGAGGAGCTGAGCAGCTCCTTTAGTGAAAGACTTTTACACCCTGTTTATAAAAAGAAGCGCTACCACAGGTCATTCATCCCTGCTGCAAACAGACTATACAATGCAACACTACAATGGCAATAACTTGTGCAATTATAATGTGCAATTACTATTTGATACCGTGTGCAATAACCTGTTTCTCTATATTTGACACCCAGTGCAATAACTATATATATAAATATCCATCTATATAAATACCCATGTAAACACCCTATGCAAGAACCCTTTATAATAATCCTGCTATAAAAAATTATTAATAAAAAACAGTTTAAAAAAGCTCTCATTTCTAGATGCTCTGTATATACTGTCTATATCGCATGTGCCTCTTTTATTCCTTTGGCACCTTCTTCTTCTCTTTTGACTATTTGAGCTGATGTAATGATTTAATTTCTCCACTGTTAGATCAATCAAGTCAATCAATTAATTCATCAATAAATTAATTACCAGGGAGACTAATTTGTCTGACTGGTACTGAATAATGGATCTATTTAGGTGCAGTCACCTGGCAGTAGTATAAAAAAGTTGTTCAAACAGGAAGGACCTGTGCATCATCTCACTGGGTTCCTCATTTTAATCTGTCTTCCATTACACAGTAAATGAACGGCTGTCTGATTATGCAGTCATTTTTATAATGCTGCTATAACACATCATCGTGTTTTCACTGATATTAATCACTATGAATGCGTGTGAGGACGGATGAGGTTGTGGATGTATGTGATGGACTTTGAGGTTAAACGGTAGAGCTCATAAAGATAACTGATTGTAAAAGGACATCTATACATGTTCTGAAAACCCTCTCCCTATTAATATTTTATTCTCTGTGAATTAATGCCGTTCATTCTTTAATTGGATGCTCGTCAAAAGGACGTGATATGTTTTTATTTTTAACACCTAATGTGTCTAATGGACATAGTGAATTATTTTCTTTTCATTCACAAAACTACAACAGAACTCTGCTGATTAAATCAGGAAATAAAACACAGTTTTTGGCTTTGGAGGGTGGAGATAGAGGACACTGAGTTTACTGAAGAAAACCTGCTCCCGACCAGATTAGTCCCGGAGAGAATGTTACTACGGTAACAATGGCATAGTTAACTCTCTTTGTGAAACAGAAAACTCAGAGTTTCCCTGATTTTAAGTTTTAAAAATGTGGAGTTATCTGTAAATCTGCTTTGTTAAACGGACCCCTTGGGAGATGCCGCTGTTGGCTCGGTTCTGTGCTGTAGGTCAGCTATTATTTCACAGAAAAGCTCAGATATTTCAACTTCAGCCGTCACCGCTCTCTTCATGCGGTGCTACTGTTTGAAACATCTCAGTCCTGTCAAGCAGCATGGTTGAGGGCGGAGCGGTGACCGTTCTCACTGAGTGGAAGTCACAGTTGGACGTTTCACCACTTCACACAGGGATACTATGCAAATCCACTGTACTTACCATGGACGCCTTGTTCGCTGTGAATGCATTATTAAGGTTGAATCCAAATACCTCAAATCGATCTGGAGACTTCCGCTGTTGCTGAATCCCAATACCTTATTTTTTTAGTTATTTGAACTGTGAGTGACACATGCAATGTTAACACCTTAATATGTTTTAGATTTTATAAGGGAGAGCTTCAGCACATTTGTTTTTAGTTTTCTGAAAAAAAGGCTCTAGTCCCAATATGACTAAGGTCATAGATAGAAAACTTTGTATCAATTTGACTGTATGATCTGGTTGAACTGTAAAGTGCCTTGAGATGACATGTGTTGTGAATTTGGCGCTATATAAATAAACTGAATTGAATTGAATTGAATTCATGTTGCCCTCATGTAATGACGACCAGAGGTGTCAAGTAACGAAGTACAAATACTTTGTTACTGTACACTTTTCAGGTATTTATACTTTACTCCATCACTTATTTTTCTTCCTACTTCTCATTACATTTTCACACAAAAATGTCATTTCTGTTACTTACATTTTTAAAATAAAAGTTACTTGTTACTCTTGGCTTCGGTTTTATGTTCATATTTATTTCACATCTTTTGCGCCATCCAATGCAGATCATTGGCACCATCCACATATAGTGAAAACTAGTGTGATTGGATGAGTCATATGACGCAAACACTTATTGGTTAGCTAAAGGAAATCATAAGCAAGGGGGCGTTCTTTAATTTGCAAGCGTGAATTGTCTATGCCATGCTACAATGTAGGATTGAGATGTCAAAATGTCTGAAAGGTTGGCCACAGGTAAAGGCGTATCGGGAGATGGAGACCAACAAGACCTCCCTCATCCTTTAACTTATTTCAAAGAAATTTTCGAAATAGTCGAAAAATTGAGCTTTACAATTGATATAGTGACATCTGGCTGTTTAAGGTTACTTTACACTTTAGTTTTTTGAAGCACACTTTTTCTCTTGAGTAAAGAGATCAAGTTGATACTTCAACTTTGTGTTTTTAAACTGCAGTATCTATACTTATACTCAAGTGTATTTTTGACACCACTGAAAACCACTTTTCTTAACCAGGGACATCATTGTCATCTTTCATAGGATTTTCATTGTTTCAGCATCATCCACTCATGTTTGGGTTATCCAGGCTTAATTCAGTCTCTTAATACAGCAGATTTTGTTATAATTGCAGTTTTTCAAGAAGCTTAATATTGATGCTGCCATTGAAGCCACACTATGCTGCT